GGGGCGGTGGCCCTGCGACCGAGCCGGGCCGTAAGTGCCCGGCCGGCCAGAGGTGGGAAGGCCGTGGCCCTGAGACTGCGCGAGGCCCGGGCCTCCCCGCCGCCCCGCTCCGAGGCTGGCACTGGCTCGCCCCGCCGGGTCGCGGTGGCCTCGCAGTTAGAACAACGCGCTGCAGTGTAGGAACGTGTCACAGGCCCTCTCGCTTGCTCCTCACGCCAGGGAAGGGGCTGTTGTCCCATTTTGCATACATGAAACTTTAAGGCTCAGAGTGGAGAGGGGATTTCATTTTAGTATTTAAGTATTTAATATCAAGAGAAAGTTTGCTGCATTGCCTTCCCTCTTTCTATAAGTTTTATTCTTTCTTGCTTTTTCTTTTTTTCTTAGTAATTTAAAAATACAGAAATTTTTTTTTAAATTTCAGAAAAATAGATATTACAACAATTTGCCCAGAGACACCCGGCAAGGTCATGGCGGTGGGTTCGGTCTTAGTCCACCTAATCCAGCGCTCTTTCCACAGGGCCACTCTGCCTCACCTGTCAAAGGAGGGTGCTGAACTTGGATATTAGTTAAGGCAGTGACTGGAAATTCTTTTTCTTTTCTTTCCTTTCTTTCTTTTGTTAATCAGGCAGTCTCTTCTGCACCATCCAGGTCAGAGCTAAGAAGTGTTCAGAAGCCAAGTCATGGATCAACCTACCCGTAAAGAAAAATCCAAAGTTAAAGAACCTGTCAGCAGAGTTGAGAAGGCCAAGCAGAAATCAGCCCAGCAGGAGCTGAAGCAAAGACAAAGAGCAGAGGTGAGATTAAGGAGGAGGCCTATATACCTGTAGTCTGCTGTAGATGGTGCTGGAATAGAGAGGAGAGCTGTGAGGGGGAGGGTTATTTGCCTCTAGGCAAAACAGCTGTTCTCCTAGGAGGAGATCATTGAGGTCCAGAATGATGAAGTGGCAGCCCAGAGTCACATGCCAGGTTAGTGTCCGAACCCTGACCATCTCCAGATGACTCCTGGTGCAGAGCTTTTGTGGAAGAAAGAAAGGAAAAAGAGAAGGGACATGTCAGGGAGGGGCCAGCGAGAGACAACAAGTGTTGGACACCCCCCAGCACAGGTGTTCAGGCTTTGTCCTGGAGAGTAGCTGCTCAGAACCAGAAGTAGAGGCCCAAGCTCTACATCCACCAAATGTATTTCTTTGTTCCGTCAACACTTAGAATCAGCTTGAGAATGAAAAGCTAAACTGTTCACACTACCTATGTGGAACCACATCCAGACATGTATTTTTATTTTAGTATTTAATATCAGAAGAAAGCTTGCTGAAAATTCTTCCCTCTTTCGAGGCATTGTATTTGTTTCTTTTTTGAGAAATTTAAAAATACAGAAAAACAAAATATTAAAACAAACACCTGCGTACTCAGTGCGCCAGATTGGTAGTCGTTAATATTTTGTCATATTCGCCTGGAGCCTTTTAGATAAATAAAAATTGCATATGAATTTGAAGTCCTCTTTGTCCATTTCCTATCTTACACCCTTTTCCCCTCTGTATGGGCATCCACTAGAATTTTTTATGCTTTTACACTCAGATATATTAATAGATATCCTTGAGTAATATACAATATTCTTTTGTGTTTTAAAATTTTACATTAATAAAATTCTGTGTTTTATTTTACATTTTGCTTACATTATGTTTAGAACTATTCATGTTAATATAATCTAGTTTATTCCTCATCACTGCTTACAGTAGTCTATTTTATTTTTTTTATTTTTAAAGATTTTATTTATTTGAGAAAGCATGAGCAGGGGGAGGGGCAGAGGTAGAGGGAGAAGCAGACTCCCCGCCCCCCCGCCCCTGAGCGGGGAGCCCCATGCAGGGTTCCATCCCAGGACCCCAAGATCATGACTCGAGCCAAAGTCAGACATTTAACTTACTGAGCCAGCCGGGCACCCCAATTTTATTTTTATTTTTTAAGTTTTCATTTAAATTCCAGTAGTTAAAATACAGTGTAATATTAGTTTTAGGTGTACAATATAGTGATTCAACACTTCCATACAAAAGCTAGTGCTCATCACCCATCACACCCATCCCCCCACCCACCTACCCTCCAGTAACCATCAGTTTGTTCTCTGTATTCAAGAGTCTGTTTCTCGGTTTAAGAACCAAAACAAATGAGCATGAGGGGAAAGGGAGAGAGAGATACAGTAGTCCATTTTATGAAGCCACTTTAGTATATTTACCCATTCCTCCATTGATGAACATTTAAATTACTTACAGGTTTTTTGCTACTACGAACATTGCTGTAGTGAAAAACTTGGATGTCTCCTTTGGCACCTGTGCTAGAATATCTGTAGAGCATATTTGACTAGAAGCAGAATTACAGTGTGTATTTCAGTTTTACTAGACCTTGCCAGATTGCTGTCAAACAGATTGTACAAGTCTTTACTCCCATCACCAGTGTAAGAGAGTTCTCATTCCTCACTTCTTTTCCACATTAAATTTGTGTTGATTTGATCCATTCGTTAAATACTGAGCTGCTATGTACCCCGCACTGTTGCAGGGGCTTGAGATAAACGAGTGGACAAGGCAGAGAAGAATCCCTGCCTTCATGGAGATTGCGTTCAGTGCGAGAGGCAGACAGTCAGTATAATAAGTAAATTGAATAGTGTGTTCAAAGTTAATCCATAAACTGAAATCCACCTTTGGATTAAGACAGACCATCTGAGGAGCGCGTGGGTGGCTCAGTCGTTAAGCGTCTGCCTTCGGCTCAGGTCATGATCTCAGGGTCCTGGGATCGAGCCCCGCATCGGGCTCCCTGCTCCGCAGGAAGCCTGCTTCTCCCTCTCCCACTCCCCCTGCTTGTGTTCCCTCTCTTGCTGTCTTTCTCTATCAAATAAATAAATAAAATCTTTAATTAAAAAAAAAAGACCATTTGAGAGTTGTAGACGTGGATTCTAACAAATTATTCTCCCCTTTACCTCCCCATTGCCACCTGGATCCAGGCCCCCAGATAACTGTACTGCATTGTGCTCTGGGGAACAGTTGGAGGGTTGTTGTAAGGAACAGCCTGAGGAAACTATCCTTTGTGCACACTGTAGGGATAGATGTGGAGGGCTTTCTTGGTGTCCTTATTGACATCCTTCTGGTAAGATTCCACAGGTTAGATTTTATTGGTCCGACTCCAAATTCCAGCTCATCATGAGCCCCAGTTCTTCCCATGGGACCTTGGAGAGGATGCTTCACCTCCCTACACTTCAGTGCCTCAGTTCCCCCTTGAAAAATGAGGGCGATGATATCTACCTCACAAGATTGTTACGAGGAACAGAAACGTGGTGTGTAAAGCCCTCAGCGCAGTGCCTGGCCCAGAGAAAGCCCTCAGTAAAAGGCAGCAAGGAACCATGTGCTTCCCAGCAGGTGACCTGCTTTTATTGTGCGGACTCCGGGTGGAAGGACTGATCGCGTTGTTGGTGTCGTGCCGAAATGGAATATTGGAACTCAATATTGGAACATTGTGATGTAATACCACCAGGCCCAGGGCCAGCGTGCACGTGCTTGACCACGGGTATCCTCACATGAAAGCTTATTGTTGCTACTCCCATCCCGACCTTTGTAAATCCTGCCTGGCATAAGGCAGGGAGATGTAAATATAAAATAGGTGATTTTGTGACATAGAAGGTATTATCCTCACTTGAAAGCATAGAACCCCTCGTTACTCAGGGATTGAGGGGCACACTGCGAGCTAAACACATCTGACCATGGGCTCCTGCTTTTTGTTTTGCCCTACAAGCGCCCTGCTGTTGGCTCTATCTGAGCTGCCTGGAATGTAGTCTCCTAAGATAGGAATGTGACAAGACCCTCGTGGGGAGGAGGAGACACAGTTTCCATTCAGTTCTACAGAGATGCCGCATTCCAGAAAGATGTGAGGGAGCGTCATGACGAGTAAATGGAAGAGAGGGCACGTGTGGCCATGAAGCCACGTTTGACACAGTTGGCCACCCTTTCCTGCTTGAAAGTCTTTGTTCCTTGGCTTGGGCCTGCTGACCCATTTTGAGTCTCTTCTTTCTCTGCTTATTCTATTTTCCCTTCCACCAGCCTGCCTTCGGGATCTAGAGGTCTCCAAGGAGCTACTTAATATCGCTCTCGGTCCCCAGCTCAGTCACATGCAGATTAAAATGCTCGTTAAAGCATGAATGGATGAAGCAGAGGTTCGAATGTATATATATTAGAAGTGTATTCACATATATATGATGTGTACAGCTTAAAGAAGATGAATAAAACCAACACCCCATGTCTACCACCCAACTCAAGAAATAGAATGTGACCAGTAACTTGGAAGCTCCTCGGGCCCCACTCTGGTCCTGTCCCCAACCCTTCCCACCAGCAGTGCTCTCATTCCTTGATTTTAATGCTGATCCTGCCCTTGCTGTTCTGCACTAGTTTAGTATTTCTCTGTGTACCCCCAAATAATATTTTGTAGCCTAACAATATACTGTCTAGTTGTGCATGTTTCTGGGGCGCCTCAATAGGTTGGGTGTCTGCCTGTGGCTTGGGTCATGATCCCAGAGTCCTGGGATCGAGCCCCATGTTGGGCTCCCTGCTCAGTGGGGAGCCTGCTTCTCTCCCTCTGTCCCCCAACTCCTGCTCTCTCTCTCTCACCTTCACTCTCTCTGTGCACGTTTCTGAATTTATATATGTTACTACATTCTGTGACTGGCTCTCTTCACTCAGCTTCTTTTCTTTTTTTAAACTATTCAGACCTATTTATTTGTTTTCATTGTGGTAAAATAGACATAACAGAAGAGTTAACCATTTTAACCATCAATATTATGCTTTTCGAGAACCATTTGCATTGATTTATTAATTGTTTTCATCACTGTGGAATAGCCTTTTCCCTAAAGATTATAGGATCTTACCACAGTTAAAAAAAAAAAAAAAGGGGGGTGGAGAAGATTATAGGATCATTCAAACTTTCTATTTAGTCAGTTTTGATCATTTTACTCATTCTAGCAATTTATTTCATTTACGTTTTCAAACTTATTGACACAAAGTTCATAATGTTTTCATTTAATCTCCATTATACCAGTAATTATGTTTCCTTTTTGATTCTAATAATGTTTGCTTATGTCAACCCCTTTTTATCTTGATGAATCATGTCAGAGATTTGCAGGATTTTCTCTACTATTTTCAAAGAACCATCTCGCAGGGTTAGTGATCTTCGCACATTTGGTTGCCTTTTCTGCTCTTTATTTTGTGTTTTCTATTTGTCTCCCTTCTCAGTTTCTTTTTTTCCCCCTTTCTTGTCTTTTCTTAAATGAATCAAGTTATATCACCTACACACAAACACACTCCTTCATTTTTCCCTTCTACAAGTTGGAAAGTTTTCTGATGTTTCTGCTCTTTGGTGGACAGATTGATACCACAAGGATAAAGAAAGGTGAGGAATGAGGTAGATACCCCACCTTTCACCTGAGAATGTCTCTTGCAGTTTTCATTCCATCCCCGCTGCCTACCCTACGTCATATGCTTGCCGCCTCCTCCCTGACTATTGTAATGATGCCCGTAAGTGGCCCCTAATCTCTTCTTCCACTTTATCCCTCACATGGTCTCCAGTTATCTTTCCCAAAGCAGAGATATCATCAGGTTGCTTCCCTGCACACTAATCTCACTGGCTCTCCAGAGTCTGGCCGAAGTCCAGAGGCCGTGGCCAACACACTTGTCACTTTCTCCGGCTCCCCAAACTCTATAATATCCTTCATATTGGCCTCGTTGAAGTTTCCAGAACTCATCCTGTACTTTCCCGTTACGTTTGTTTCATCATACTGCCCCCTGGCCATCACCTCTCGTGGCCCTTCCCCAGTCTCTACTTGTTCAAATCCTCCGGACCCTGTAAAAGCCAGATCAGGCCACTGCGTCTCTTCCCATTCTCCAGGGGGAATTGGTTCCCTTCAGCTGCATTACTGGCACTTCCAAATGCCCCGGCCTGTGGCGTCGGTGGCGTCCGAGGACAGGTGGGGCAGCTGCCTCCCCCGCCAACGGCTCTTTTTCTCCCCTTCAGATCTATGCCCTCAACAGAGTCATGACGGAGCTGGAGCAGCGGCAGTTCGATGAGTTCTGTAAACAGATGCAGCCTCCTGCAGAGTGAGCCACCCGTGCGCGAGCCGGATGGGGCCCCGGGGGCCGGGTTTCTCAGCTGCGTCCCCGTTTCACTGAGATGGTCCACTTGGAACCTTACAGAACTAGACAAGAAGCTGTTTGCGTTGTTCCTGGATAAATCTGAACTTCCCGTCCGTCCCTTCTGCTTCACTGGTACCTTCAGTCTGAATTGGCCCAATGCTTGCTGAAGAGACTTGTTTTGTTCTCCTAAGACAATAGATTCTCTTTTTTTTAACCTTTTTCTATTGTTTGAGAAAAATCAGTGTTTCTCGTGAAACTGTAGCTCTTCTCCAAAAATATAAATAAAATGCTAATAAAATGTTCGTTTGCTCAGACTTTAGCTCGGGGTGCCTAGCCATAGAAAACGGAGTCAGAAAGAATGTAATAGGTAAGACAAGTTTGGGGTGAGCAGAGGGAACCCTTTCTCCTTTAGGAGGGAGTGGAAGGGAGGAGATAAGAGAAAGGATGTGAGCGTTTCCAGTTCTCATTCTTCCTGGGGCCAAAGCTCGGCAAACCCAGCAGCTCCTAAGTTTTTAGCCTCATGGGTATAAATATGTGAGCCTCGATTCCCCGATGAGCCAGTACTCAGGGCAGAGGCCTGCAGCTAGGATTCCTCTCATCTTGTGACGGATAGCTAGCCGCAGGCTGGTACCAGTGGGGAGACGCGTGCAGGTGCTTTTCGCTTTTCATTCCAGGAGCTACTTTATCAGGCCTAGAAGTTGGTTTGTGATAGGAATATCCAGACTGGTTCCTCAAGAACCATTCACCTACCCATCCATCCACCTGCCATCTTTAAGTATCAAAGTGTAAAGTTTCTGCCTCAGACATTCGTATCAGGAATGGTGGGTCATACTTCAGCTTTCACGATAAAAGAGTTAATGCTGAGCAAAAGCAGAACTTGTTCTTTCAGGGTATTTCATTTCCAGACATTCCTGAGTAGGGAGAAGGGTGTCAGAAAGCAGAATATGTATGGAGATGAGGTAGACCTCTCAGGGCAAAGGAGCCAGACGCTGCTACCTCCTTTACCCTCTACCCTAGAATTGCCCGTGTTTTCCCTACTGGTGTTGGGAACATCTCAAGCCATCCCCATCTCCTCTTTGTCTCCCTGCTGCCTCAGAAGTCACTGAGAATTCTGTTCCCACTGCTGTGGCTTGTTTTAGGAGTAAACTGGGCCATAATGGGGTATGAGGAACTTGCTACCACTGTGGAGAATGTGTTCTTGAGAGTCTAAGTTATAGCTAAGGATACTCTCTACAAAGATTATCCCCATAAGTTGTAATTAGAGTCTATGGTGTCCTGCCAAATTTGGATTGGGGATTATTTGGTTTTGTTTTTTGGAGGCGTTGGGGTTTGGAGTGAGCTATTACAAACCTATAAGAATGCTGTAGTATACTACAAAGAGCACAGTTTTTGGACTCAAATGACCTGGGGTCAAGTAGCAATTCTACTACATTAGATAAGTTATTAGCCTCTGAGCCTCACTTTTTCCATCTGTGTAGTGGAATATTTTCTTCCTGTCAGGGTCATTTGTTGGAGTAATATATGAGATAATGTATGTAATAGATCCTCAGTAAATGTCACCTCCCTTCCCAACCACCTTGTTTCATGGGAAATGTTCCAAATTTCAAATAACCAAGTAATGCGTAAGCATCAGTTGGAAAGATTCTGATCCTTAGTTGAGAACTGCCTGTATTAACAAGTCTCAGCCCTAGATCTATTCCATCCTAGAGAAGTCCTCTAGGATTGCAGTTTTTCAAACTGCAGGTGGTTGTAAAATCAGTTTAATAAATTATGACAGGCTTTTTTTTTTAATGAAACAACAGATTAAAATTATCGTGGTAAAGATATTATTTCATGAAGCTTTTGTTTCAGGTTTATGTATATTTATGAAAGAGTCTACTGCATTGGAGGTAAAAGTTCTCTATTCTGTGGGTTGTGGCAAAAAAAAAAAAAAGTTCGAAATGTGAGGGATGCGTGAACAAGGCAGGACTGAGTCATCTTTTTATTCACAATTTAAAGGGAAAGAAGTTTCATCTGCCTCAGGGAAGGGCTGCAGGAGCCTTTGCGTCCATAACTGGAATAGCATTCAATGCTAAGGCTCTTGCAAGCATAATCAGGGAAAACAAGGAGCACCTCCTTTCTGCTTCCCTACCTGGAATTCCCTAACCCTGATGTGATCTACTCCCGGTTTCTCAGAGGTAAGAGATATTTTTGGAGCTCTGCATCAAAAAATTCATGATGAGAACTGACTTTTGAAGTCAGGCTGCCTGGGTTTGACTCTTGGGTCCACCACTTACACCACTTACACCACACACCACTAACGTATGAACACTGGGCAAGTTTTAACCTCCCTAAGTCAGTGAGTTTCAGACATTTTAGTCTCAGACTTCTTTATCCTCTAAAAATGGAGGACCCCAAAGAGCTTTTGTTTTTGTTATTTATGTTAACCTGTAGTAGGTTTTTACTGTTTTAAATAAATCAATATTTTCAAACAAATTTTTTGTGAAAAAAATTTTTTTTCCTTTTTTTAAAAATTTTTTATTTAAATTCATTTAATTAACATAGAGTATATTATTAGTTTCAGAGGTAGAGGTCAGTGATTCATCAGTCTTGTATAACACCCAGTGCTCATTACATCATGTGCCCTCCTTAATGTCCATCACCCAGTTACCCCATCCCCCTACCCCTCTCCCCTCCAGCAACCCTGTTTGTTTCCTATGATTAAGAGTTTCTTATGGTTTGTCTCCCTCTCTGATTTCGTCTTCTTTTATTTTTCCCTCCCTTCCCTTATGATCTTCTGTTTTATTTCTTAAATTCCATATATAAGTGAGATCATATGATAATTGTCTTTCTCTGATTGACTTATTTCGCTTAGCATAATACCCTTAAGTTCCATCTACGTCATTGCAAATAGTAAGATTTCGGTTTCTTGATGGCTGAGTAGTATTACATTGTATATATATATACCACAGCTTCTTTAGCCATTCATCTGTCGATGGACATCTCAGCTCTTTCCACGGTTTGGCCATTGTAGACATTGCTGCTATAAACATTGGGGTACAGGTGCCCCTTCAGATCACTACATTTGTATCTTTGGAGTAAATACCCAGTAGTGCAATTGCTGGGTCATAGGGTAGCTCTATTTTCAACTTTTGGGGGAACCTCCATACTGTTTTCCAGAGTGGCTGCATCAGCTTGCATTCCCACCAACAGTGTAGGAGGGTTCCCCTTTTTCTGCACCCTTGCCAACATCCATTGTTTCCTGACTTGTTAATTTTAGCCATTCTGACCGGTGTGAGGAGGTATCTCATTGCAGTTTTGATCTGTATTTCCCTGATGCCGAGTGATGTGGAGTGTTTGTTCATGTGTCTGTTGGCCATTTGGATGTTTTCTTTGAAGAAATGTCCGTTCATGTCTTCTGCCCATTTCTTGATTGGATTATTTGTTCTTTGGGTGTTGAGTTTGATAAGTTCTTTATAGAGTTTGGATACTAGCTCTTTATCTGATATGTCATTTGCAAATATCTTTTCCCATTCTGTCGATTGCCTTTTGGTTTTGTTGACTGTTTCCTTTGCTGTACAAAAGCTTTTTATCTGAAGTCCCAGTAGTTCATTTTTGCTTTTGTTTCCCTTGCCTTTGGAGATGTGTCTAGCAAGAAGTTGCTGCAGCTGAGATCACAGAAATTGCTGCCTGTGTTCTCCCCTAGCATTTTGATGGGTTCCTGTCTCACATTTAGGT